CCTTCCTCTTTCCTTCCTTCTTTCCTTCCTTCCTCCTCCCTCCCTCCCTCCCTCCTTCCTTCCTCCTCCCTCTCCTTCCTTCCTTCCTCCCTCTCCCTCCTTCCTTCCTTTCCTTCCTTCCTTCCTTCCTCCCTCCCTCCTCCTTCCCTCCTCTCTCCCTCTCCCTTCTTCCTTCCTCTTTCCTTCCTTCTTTCCTTCCTCCTCCCTCCTTTTTCTCTCCCTCCATCCCTCCTTCTTCCTCCCTCCCTCCCTCCCTCCTTCTCCCTCATCTTGCCAGTCTCTCCTAAGGGGGGGTTCAAGGATCCAGGCAAAACTCAGGCAGCTCAAGGCCCAGGGACGGAGGGACCCTGGAGGATTGCAGGGGTTCTCTGGGGGTGGGCAGAGCCTTTGGGTCAGTTCACGAAGACCAAAGAAGAGCCTCCGTTCTTTGCCTGCTCTCTGTCACCTGCCCCATGCACAGGGGACATGTTAGCAGTCTGCCAGTATCTCAGGGGCTGCCCCAAAGAAGAGGGAGTCAAGCTATCCTCCAAAGCACCTGGAGGCAGGACAAGAAGCAACGGGTGGAAACTCATCAAGGAGAGAAGCAACCTGGAACTAAGGAGAAACTTCCTGACAGGGAGAATAATTAACCAGTGGAACTCCTTGCCTCCAGAAGCGGTGAATGCTCCAATACTGGAAGGTTTTAAGAAGAGACTGGACAGCCGTTTGTCCGAAATGGTATGGGGGTAGCAGGGGAATGGTCTAGACCAGGGGTAGGCAACCTTGGCTCTTTTATGACTTGTGGACTTCAACTCCCAGAATTCCTCAGCCAGCTTTCTGGGAGTTGAAGTCCACAAGCCATAAAAGAGCCAAGGTTGCCTACCCCTGGTCTAGATAGAAGACCCCCATTGTTGTTAGTTGAGAAGTTGTGTCCAACCCATCACAACCGCATGGACAACGTTCCTCCAGGCCTTCCTGTCCTCTACCATCTTCTGACCCCCATTATACATTCACTTTACTCTTCCAATCATTTAATCTATTGACCACCAGGAGGCATCAATGATCAATGAAACCAAAAATACTACCCAGGACCCACACTGTGCAAAAACAGAGAGGGTGTCACGTATGCCCCCTAACACAGGGGCAGGACGTCACCCAACCTCTGTATCTCTCTCCTTGAGAATCTAAAGGAAGGTGGACTGTGCGTACCATTCTGATAGAGCTTCAGAGAGAAGTTCCTCAAAGGTGAGCTTGATCAAGAAGCTCAAAGGTCTCTGAGTGTGGAAAACTACCTGTATCACCTGGACAGGACAACGGCATGCCTGGTGTCACCTGGAATCCAGTTCCAGGTGGGGATCCTTCCTTTTTTTACAAAGGAGCTTTGGGACTGAGTTAGTCCAGGAGCCTCAACTGTAGAGGAAGTGGAGTCCTTGGTGCTCTCTGAGCTTGGTTGTCTCCACGCAGACAAACCCCACGATGTCGCAGGGCTGGGTAACGAAACGTCTGCAAGGAAACCGCCAAGCTCAGAGAGCACCAAGGACCCCACAGAGCTAAAGAGATTCCCTTCTATGGGACCATGGGGACCAGCTAGTGCTGTGTAGAGCAATTCAGGCACTGAGAGCAGAACAGACACATCCAAGCCAGAATGGAAGGGATCTTGGAGATCTTCTAGTCCAGTGATGGCGAACCTTTTAGAGACCGAGTGCCCAAACTGTAACCCAAAACCCACTTATGTATCGTCGGGTGCCGGGTGGGCATGGCCCATTGGCTGGGTGTGGCCCATTGAGTGGGTGTGGCTGCGGTGGTAACGGCAGGCTGGGTGGGACTAAAAAGTTCAATCAATCAATTCCAACTTTGCAAGATCTTTTTTTTTCCCCAAGAAGTTGAAGTTGACTGATTGATTGAACCTTTTTTTTTTTTTTGCACACGGCAATGGAGGCCTAAAGCGAAAAGGTTTTATAAAACCCAGCTGAAGGCCTAGGACTGGGGCGATGGCGCGCGTGCCCACAGAGAGGGCTCTGAGTGCCGCCTCTGGCACCCGTGCCATAGGTTCGCCACCACGGTTCTAGTCCAACCCCCTGCCCATGCAGGAGTCCCTAGACCAGGGGTAGGCAACCTTGGCTCTTTTATGACTGGTGGACTTCAACTCCCAGAATTCCTGAGCCAGCCATGCTGAGAGGAAAGGGAGAGGTTTCCAAGCTGAGCCATGCTGGCTCAGGAATTCTGGGAGTTGAAGTCCACGAGTCATGAGGGGGCCACAGTTTCCCCATGCTGGCTCAGGAATTCTGGGAGTTGAAGTCCATGAAGGGGCCATAGTTCCCCCATGCTGGCTCAGGAATTCTGGGAGTTGAAGTCCACCAGTCATAAAAGAGCCAAGGTTGCCAACCCTTGCCCTATACTATTCTAAACAAATCACTAACCTTAAAAGCCTCAACTTTTGGAGACAAGCTGTTCTCCTGATTAATTGTTCTCACTGTCAGGAAATTTCTCCTTAGTTCTAAGTTGGATCTCTCCTTGATTAATTTCATCCATTACTTCTTGCCCTATCCTCATCTATAAAAATCCAGAATGTTTTTTTTTGCCTTACCGTGTCCATTTAATTTATCATGCATGAACAGAGATTTCCCAGTAAGCGCCCTTGAAATCCTGCAAGACAACTAGGATGTAAATCTAACCAGCTAAGCAACCAACCAGAAACCCAGGGGGATT